GGGGAGAGAGTGGGGGAGTGGGGTTGATCAGGGCTATGGGGAGAGTGAGAGAGAGAGTGGGGGAGTGGGATTGATCAGGGCTATGGGGAGAGAGCGGGGGAGTGGGGTTGATCAGGGCTATGGGGAGAGAGCGGGGGAGTGGGGTTGATTTGGAAGCTCTTCAAAGAGGCGACACAGACAAGATGGGCCAAATGGCCTCCTCCTGTGCCGTATGATTCTGTGACACTGCTGTGCACAATTGGCTGCTGTTTTGCCCACAAAATATACAGTATACTCTAACTCTGAGACGTCTTGTGAAGTCGTGATGAGACCAAAGCAAGGATTATTATTATATCCTGCAATTTCCCAGGCAGTACGGATGGGTGCACAAGAGGTATGCTAGCCTAAGCATACTCAAGTCACTGGTGGATTTTCACCTGAGCGAGGTGCAAAGTAAAAACCTGTGGCAGAAATGTAATGCTTCATGAGGATTACAAAGCAACTGAACAAAATGCATTTAGGCCATGAAGGAAAATGGCACAGAATTAAGTCAGATTCAATGCGAGAAGGCAAGCCAGGACTAAAGACATCACAATTGCAAAGAAAATCTTTAAATTGAACATGGCAAGAGCTGTGAAGGATAATAAGTCTTTCAGTTACGTTAAGAGAAAAACAAGCAATGGAAGAGGGCCACTCCACTGAAGGTGGGTTCAGGAGAGGACATGACAAATAATGCTGCACTGTTCCACTATTTATTTCATCAGTTTTTACTAAGGAGGTGACAGGTAACCTATCTGATCTGTAAAGAGAACTCGAGGATGCCATAGAGGAAAGTTGTGGCACTATTCGTATCACTACCAGCATAGCTGACAAACAGCCGTGTAAACTTGAGGTAAATCTCGGGCCGAGTAAATTGTGAGGGAGGAAGTTGCAGAAAGGCTGGCATAAATCTTTCTGAAATCACTGAATACTAGAGAGGTGCCAGGGATTGGAAAAAGGCAGATGTTATTCCTATTTTTAGCAAAAGTGACCCAGGAAACTACAGATGTCCATTATGGGTAAAATTATGGAGATTTATAACGATAAAATCATGGACCACCTGGGCAGAAATAAAATCATAAATAATAGCCAATATGAGTTCATGAAGGGAAGATCTTGCTGATCTAATTTACTGTTTTTCTTTGATGGTGAGAGAAGGGAGCTGAGTAAGGCTGTGGATGTTGTGTATCTGGATTTCATTACGGCCTTTGATACAGTTCCTCTTGAGAAGATGGTACAGAAAGTTTGAAAAATAAGCAGCAGTGGTATATCACAACAAGCTGTACCCCTTGCAGCTACGCTTGCAACCAGTTTAATCGGCCTCTCTTTTGTCTAGCATTTTTATTTGTCCTTGAAATGCTTGATCTTTGCTTCTTAGGCTTCTTTATCCATTAAGATTAAGAAAATGTGCTATTGAACTCGTTAGCATCCCTTGTTCAATTATTTGCAAACATATCCTTTTGGGAGGACTCCTGTGGGAGGACTGTATAAAATAGCAACAGAGGTTACAGCCTTCTAGAGAGAGATATACATCTGTATGTATCTCTCTAGAAGGCTGTAACCTCTGATGCTATTTTCTTGCAAAATACCATGCATACTTTTTGGGGGCTTAATGAAAGCATTTTTNAATATAGCTCATCAACAATAGGAGATTCCCCCAAAAATATGCACATGACACTCCCCCATTCAAGACCTTTCCGATGCGGTATAAATCATGTCTATGTCAATCAGTTATTGAGTTCTTGGCGGGCTCACAGACAGACAATATGTCTTTATTAGTATAGAAGAAGATGGATATGTAACTGGTTGACCTACCCCAGAAGACTGTGGATGCTCAGTCATTGAACATATTCAAAACTGAGATCGATAGATTTTTAAAAACTAAAGGATTAGTGGGGATAGGGTGGGTAACTGGAATTATATTAGAAGATCAGCCATAGTCTTGTTAAATGGTGGGGCAATCTCAAGGGGCTGAATGGCCTACTGCTCCTATTTCTTATGTTCTTATGTAGACTGGGAAAATGTTACCAGTGGAGTTCCACAAGGGTTTGTTTTGGGACCTCTTTTGTTTAATATTTTTTATAAATTATCTGAAACTAGGAGTTGCAAGCACAGTGGCTACGTTTGCAGATGACACCAAGCTAATGAAGATGGTAGATTGCAAAGCTGAACAAGACAGGTTACAGGAGGATTTGAACATACTTGGAAATTGGGCAGATCGGCGGTGGATGAAACTCAATGTGGAGAAATGTAAAGTACCTCACAGGGGGACAACATATCCAGGAAGGGACTCTTATTTGAACGGTAGGAAAATAATATCTATGGAAAATGAAAAGGACCTGGGGGACCTGATTGACAATAAATTGAAGCTCTTGCAACAATGCTCTGTCGGTGAGTAAAGCAAACTAGATGTTGGGATGTATCAAAAGATCAATAGCAGCTGAAATAGTGGGGTAATCCTGCCACTGTATGAATCATTGGTGAGATACTTTCTTATGGTCAGCTATAACATCTGATTTATGAAAGCTATAGTATTCAGTGCACCTGAAGCCCTTAAATGTTCAGCTGAAATACCACTCATATTTGAGGTAGCAGTGCAAAGGTGTGACTGATTCTCTCCCCTCCCCAATGTGGGGGGTGAGTAGCTATTTAAAGGATTCGGCTGATAATTTAAATGGAGCTGAGCCGGTGTAAGACTGCTTTGCTCTATAGTGTCAAAAGCAATACAACCTAAATGTGATTTTCAACCATAATTCTACAAATTATCTCAACCAGATAATCAGATATATAGAATGTGATTATATGCAAAATGGTAGTATAATTCATTCACTCTTATTTCAACAATGTTGTAGAATGCTAGTCCAGGAAATCTTCCTTGATAATTGTTGGTTTCACAAAAGGTCGCTTTCCTTTTGTGTTAAAATATGAACATACTTTGAAATCTGGGAAATGGAATAATATTGATTACACTCCAGATGAGACCAATTCTCAAGAAGTGTAGGCGCTAGATTTTTTCATTCAATTCAATTTAGTGTTCCACCGCAGTTGAATGAAGCATAATCCTCCTTTGGGAACACGTACAGATCAGTTCTGCAGTGGAGAGAAGATATTATCCTCCCAGTAACCATTTTCCATTCGTGAGATGTCACCTTTTGGAAATGGAGGATGGGGACATTGTGGGAAGTCCCGTCCTGTTTATCAGGGACCATCATTATTTGTAAATAATAATATAAGAATCTTTGCATTTGATATAGTGCCTTATCACATCTTCGAGACGTCTCGAAGCTCTTCAAAGAATATTCTGTAAAGTGTATATTTTGTGGGTAAAACGCGGCAGCCAATTGCACTCAGCAATGTCCCACAAACAGTCGTGGGTTGAGAAAAAGCAAAATTGGTAAAAATGCTGAATAAAATGGAATAGAAACCAAGCTTTTTCAGGTTATTATCTCTTAATTCGGTTCTAGGGGTCATTCTCCAAACTGCCCCTCAATCAAAGGTTCAGCCAACAAATGAATATCTACTCCCAGATCTCCCTCTGTTGGATACACAACCAAGTATATAATTCTCCAGCACCGGCCTTCCTCTTTAACAACTTGTGTTAAACATCACCTTCAAGCATGCTGTTTTATATATATATATTGGCTGGTAATTGGCAAACAATTCAATGAGATTAACAAGAATACGATCCTCATTTTAATACTAAACTTTCAAAATAGTAGTTTAGCACACACTAGCAAAGCTGCTGGAGTAAACTCCATTACTCAGTTTTGCTAAAATATTAAGTTGCACTGAGACAGATATTTTGAGAATCAGGAATTAACAATAATCCTCGCATTTGATACAGCGCTTTATCACTTCTTCGAGATGTCTCAAAGCGCTTCACAGAATATACTGTAGAGTGAATTAACTCTATATGTTGTGGGTGAAACACAGCAGCCAATTCCGTACAGCAGCGTCCCAGAAACAGTCGTGGATTGAGTGACCAATTTTTTTAAAAAGAAATTTTGATGAAGGAATTATTACCCCCATAAAAGTGATCCACCAATTAACTAACAACCGGGTTCCTACTTACTGCTAGGTAACCAGAGGCTTGTGGAGTAAGGAAACTTGCCCAACATTTTGCCGTGCCGGGAATCAAACCCAGCTCTCTTTTGCGAGGTGAGTGCTCTGACCACTGAGTTACAGTATCCCCACAAAAATGGGGCCATTCTGACCATTAAGCTTAAAATGCTTGTTCCACTGGAGCTAATTACTCATCCCAATTCCCTGCTCTTCCCACTTGCCCTCCTTTTTCTTAATATTTTCCTACTCCTTTTCCCACTTTTTTATATTCCTCTTCAATGTTTTATCCCATTTCAGTATTTCTCATATCAAAATCACTACACCAGGCAGTCTCATTTCCTAATCATTCACTTTGCTTCATAAATCTTCCAGCATGCAACGCTTTTCTTTACCTCAGTGGATTACAGTGAATTGCCAGTCAATTGCTAGACTTTGTTCTGTTGAGTCTATACTTATTCTCACCTATTTAATTTTCAATATGCTCTGGATTACTTGTGTCAATTCCATTAGTCTTAAAACTACTTGCATTGAGAAAGACCCTTGTGTGTCTAGGGCTGTCCCTTTTTACATCATAGTTGATCCCATCCTGTATGTCACAGTACATCTTTGTTGAGTATACGGATGACAAGTTTTATTGCTCACAGTTTTTACCAAAGTTTTATCTCCATCCTTGATCTGACGTTTGAACATGTAACATTCCCTCCTCTGTCAATTCTGTCCTTGTGTTCTTTATTATTAACCTACTTTGTCGTTAGTATGACCTTTCTCAATCTTTGACTGTAGTTTCTCTTCCATCTTCCCATCTTCCTAATTTTGGCCTACAGTTTTGGGATAATATTGACATGTCTCATTACAAGTCTTCATCACTTTGTAATCCTGATCTGTAATGCAGGACGTCTGAATTGATAAAATCTAAGGATTGGTCTGCGGACTGGACCTAGGCTCAAGGCAAGTGGAGGAAGATCATATATCTCTTGGGGACATCAGTCAGTAAACAGCTACTGGAGGATTATTGTTCAGGTGATCGGCTACCAATGTGTGGTAATTAATAATTAAATTATGAGGAAAAACTACCACGGAGAGGGGATCAGACCATTTATTCCTTTTCACCTCTTAAGAGCTCATTAATTGCTACAATTCACATTTTAAATGTGTAATATTTTATGCTTTTTTAAAAAAAATCTCAAGCCATGAACTAAGATGCTGTATAACACCAGAAAGTCTGGCTTTTGTAGCACTGGGAACTCCTGTGCCATTCATTAGCTCTTTAACCCAATATCAGGTACCACACTGTTGGATACCAATAAATTAGTTATATAATTAATGTTATTAAACATTGATAAGGAAATGTATACTGTTACCAATGACATATTGACTACACCAGATTGTCAGCACTACAGTGCCTTGTTTATCTTAACACTGATCCAGCAATTCCCACAATTTGTGTTTTCCAGTTTTCAGCAATAATGGAATGTTACACAAGTAAAGAGTTTGGATTATGGCACAAATTGAAGAGGAAGACGGAAAACCCTTGGCTCCTCTCCGATCATCTGAGCCTGCAGAGGAGCAGGGCAAAGCTCTACTCGTACTTGAGTTCAGGAGTTTTACAGATTACTGAGAAAGACCGAAATGTTACTCCATTACCGTGTGTCGTTACAGCCATACCCTGCAAAATGGAAGTCCAGGTCAATAACGAACACCAACAGATAGACAACCAGAGAACCAATAACAGGTGAGAGCATTTAACATTCACTAAGGATTATAGAGAGCCTTCATTCAGGAAGTACAGCCGAGTACACCTGACACGGCAGAGAATTGGAATGAAATATGACAAAAAATTGTCTCTCGAAATTCTCTTTGAGATGTCTTTCTGAAGCGAAAGTTGCTATATAGATGTAAAATTGTTGTTGTTGTAAGTTTGTTTAGTGGCTCTCAGCTGCCATACAAATTCAGCAAACAAACACACAGCCCCCCCCCACACAGCCCCCCCCCCACACAGCCCCCCCCCCCCCCGCACAGCCCCCCCCCCGCACAGCCCCCCCCCCGCACAGCCCCCCCCCCGCACAGCCCCCCCCCCCCGCACAGCCCCCCCCCGCACAGCCCCCCCACGCACAGCCCCCCCCCGCACAGCCCCCCCCGCACAGCCCCCCCCCCCGCACAGCCCCCCCCCCCGCACAGCCCCCCCCCCCGCACAGCCCCCCCCCGCACAGCCCCCCCCCCGCACAGCCCCCCCCCGCACAGCCCCCCCCCGCACAGCCCCCCCCCCGCACAGCCCCCCCCCGCACAGCCCCCCCCCCCGCACAGCCCCCCCCCCGCACAGCCCCCCCCCCGCACAGCCCCCCCGCACAGCCCCCCCCCCGCACAGCCCCCCCCCGCACAGCCCCCCCCCCCCCCCCCCGCACAGCCCCCCCCCCCGCACAGCCCCCCCCCCCCCCCCGCACAGCCCCCCCCCCCCGCACAGCCCCCCCCCCCCCGCACAGCCCCCCCCCCCGCACAGCCCCCCCCCCCCGCACAGCCCCCCCCCCCCCCGCACAGCCCCCCCCCCCCCGCACAGCCCCCCCCCCCCGCACAGCCCCCCCCCCCGCACAGCCCCCCCCCCCGCACAGCCCCCCCCCCCGCACAGCCCCCCCCCCGCACAGCCCCCCCCCCCGCACAGCCCCCCCCCCCGCACAGCCCCCCCCCCCCCGCACAGCCCCCCCCCCCCGCACAGCCCCCCCCCCCGCACAGCCCCCCCCCCCCCGCACAGCCCCCCCCCCCCCGCACAGCCCCCCCCCCCCGCACAGCCCCCCCCCCCCCCGCACAGCCCCCCCCCCCCCGCACAGCCCCCCCCCCCCCCCGCACAGCCCCCCCCCCCGCACAGCCCCCCCCCCCCGCACAGCCCCCCCCCCGCACAGCCCCCCCCCCCCGCACAGCCCCCCCCCCGCACAGCCCCCCCCCCGCACAGCCCCCCCCCCCGCACAGCCCCCCCCCCCGCACAGCCCCCCCCCCGCACAGCCCCCCCCCCCCCGCACAGCCCCCCCCCCCGCACAGCCCCCCCCCCCCCCGCACAGCCCCCCCCCCCCCGCACAGCCCCCCCCCCCGCACAGCCCCCCCCCCGCACAGCCCCCCCCCCCGCACAGCCCCCCCCCCCCCCGCACAGCCCCCCCCCCCGCACAGCCCCCCCCCCCCGCACAGCCCCCCCCCCCCGCACAGCCCCCCCCCCCGCACAGCCCCCCCCCCCGCACAGCCCCCCCCCCCGCACAGCCCCCCCCCCCGCACAGCCCCCCCCCCCCGCACAGCCCCCCCCCCCGCACAGCCCCCCCCCCCGCACAGCCCCCCCCCCCCCCCCGCACAGCCCCCCCCCCCGCACAGCCCCCCCCCCCCCGCACAGCCCCCCCCCCCCCGCACAGCCCCCCCCCCCCGCACAGCCCCCCCCCCCCCGCACAGCCCCCCCCCCCCCGCACAGCCCCCCCCCCCGCACAGCCCCCCCCCCCGCACAGCCCCCCCCCGCACAGCCCCCCCCCCCCCCCCCCGCACAGCCCCCCCCCCCCCCCCCCCCCCCCCCACGCACACACGTTCAGTTGTAAATCCTTGAAAAATCAAGTGGAGAGTTGTTATTGGCAGTGCCACCACCAGTGCAGTGGGTCTCTGACAATAAACTAAAACAACAACAACAACAAGATTCCATTTATAGAGCGCCTTTCACGTCGGGAGGACGTCCCAAGGCGCTGCACAGTTGGGTCATGACCCGAGCATTGGGGGGAAATGGTCAGGGGAGGGGAGGGAAGGGAGGGAGCGAGGAGGGGTTAGAGAGTCGAGAGGGGAGCTGAAGGCTGAAGATCAAAGAGAAAGGTCTTGAGACCGGCCTTGAAGGAGGAAAGGGAGGAAGCGGCGAAGGCACTGGGGGATAGAGTTCCAGAGCCTCGGGGCTGAGAGGCTGAAGGCCACCGATGGTAGGGCGGTTGGGCGGGGGATGTGGAGCAGACCGGAGCAAGAGGAACGGAGGGTACGGGCAGGTAAGTAGGGGGATAGTAGGTCGGAGAGGTAGGAGGGAGCGAGGCCGTGAATGGCCTTGTAGGTGAGGATGAGGATCTTGAAATCAATCCTCTGGGGGATGGGGAGCCAGTGGGGGGGAGCGAGGGTGAGGGTGGGAGTGATGTGGTCGCGGTGTTTGGTGCGGGACAGTACACGAGCTGCAGAGTTCTGAATGACCTGCAGTGTGGAGGGAGGGCCGGGAAGGCCGACGAGGAGAGAGTTCCCATAGTCCAGCCTTGAGGTGATAAAGGCGTGAACCAGAGTTTCAGCCGCGTGAGGGGTGAGGTAGTGCCGTAGTCTGGCGATGTTCCGAATAGATGGATAATCTGCTGTTTGTTATTTCAATGGCAGAGTCAGTAAATGGCAAACCAAAGTGTAAGGATCCTGAGAGGTATTTCTGGATGTCACATATTTTCAGTGTATGTTGTATGGAATATGCAGAGAATTTCAGGGAAGACAAATGTGGAAATGTTTTCATTCATTTTAATAGGGAAACAACCTTGGCCCGCATCAAGGGGGTCTCTGTCCTGGAACAATTATTGAAACCCAGAAAAGCAATGACAGGAAAGTCCATCAGCTTTAAATTACCCAACTCTCCTCTCAGGTGTACTAAATGTCCTGTAACAGAAGAGAAGTCAGCAAGGTCCTTAAAGTCTCCCGAGAAGACTAAAGTAAAGTGTCTTTACTCTCAGAAGTCACCTCAGGAAAGCTACTCATGCAGACAGTTTTGTAACCCTTTGTGGCCTGCACCCAAAATCATCCACCAGAATCCCAGAGCGAGGGTAATCGAGCCTGCGTGGATACGATATGGAACAGAAAGACTTTCGCCCCTGGATTTTAAAGATCAGAGAAAACCTGAAGTAGAGAGTTTGTCTTTAATTGGAGTTCATTGTCTGAAGCCTCCTGTAAAATACGTGCCATTACTGCCCGAGGTGGGCAAATCTAAGACCGAGCTCCACATTTACATGCCGAACGGTTTGTTAACAGGTGACAATGCGGATTCCGAGTCCTCAGATGATGGCTTTGAGGAAGATGTTACAAACGAGCTTCATTCGGTAAATGTACATGAAAAAGTTAAATTCCTTAGAATGCTTCCGTTATTAAATTAACTCTTGAAAGTTCTGGCAGGATAGTCATGGTGTTTGAATGGGAAAAACCGAGATTGTGACTACCATAGCATTTGAATGTCAGCTTCTGTCAAGATTCAGCTGCCTAACTAAGAGCATTAACTTGGCGAGGTTCTGACGATATCAACGGGTGGAGTGCCTTGTGGTCGGGGAGTTGGGGTGGGGAGAAGGGATAAATCATCAGATTTATTCAATCTGATGTAGTAAAAACCTCCAGCGACAGAGAAGAAAGCTACAACCTAGTCCATCATGTTGCTCTATCGAAGGAGAACAGCGGGGGAGAGAGAAAAATATCAAAACCGACGTTATAAAAAGTGGAAATTTACAAGAACGCATAAAAGACTGAAACACTGAGGGAAAGCCTCTCTGTTCCTTGAAGAGCAATAGACGAGACCAATACTCATTGTGTGACGTTTGAACAAGGACTTCCATTAACTGACCTTTCCGATGTACAAGTAGCTGAAATTATAAATGTAACGTTTTTGTGCTTATCTAAGTATGCGATGAAGAAGAGCGGATTATTTAACATGTACCACCTCTACAATCTCCATACCCTGCCTTGGCCACTCGCCGGTTTTGAGGTTTTCTTTGCTCATGACATATGGGCAGCTGTCTGCTTTTCCCTTCCCCACATATTCTCTATACGATCAATAACTTGTCACTCTGAACGTCATTCTCCCAATGCCGCCCGCAAAACATCAATTTCTTTACAGTATATTCTGTGAAGTGCTTTGAGACGTCTTGAAGACGTGATGAGGCGCTATATCAAATGCAAGGATTATTAGTATTATTTTGTAACTGGATGTACAATTCCCCTGGTACTCCATCATTGGCTGTTAGTATTCTGCATGTTGCATTTACTGCTACTTTCAGGATATTTAATGATACAACTAACGTAGGTGCTGTATTGAATTTGTCCTACACACGAGCCATTGAATCCAATGCAATAGATCATCTCGGTCTCCATTTCTCTCAACAATATCTCGCAATGATATTTCAGGCAGTCTACTTTGTCACGTGCTTCCCCTGGCCTGCCCTGAAGGTGCTGGCAGATACTGCAGTGTCGCCATCTGATACGTTGCCCAAATAGCAATTCTGGAACATCAAGCTTCGGGACATCATCTGGGCTTAGAATCTATTTGCTAAGAGGAAAAATATGCATTCTGAAGGCAACTGCTTTGAGGGTAGAGTTTTTATAGTTCTGGATGCTTTCTCATCCCCAATGATTCTGTTGGAGAAAATATTCCATTGGTGAAACTGAGCCTTACAGACCAAGAAGGTTAGAAGTTCAGTCTCTGGTCTGTGTGCAGTGAGCTGATGTTAACTGGCGCTACATCAAATGTAAGGATTATTATATTTTGTAACTGGATGTACAACTGGCAGAAGCATACAAACTATCAGGTGTGAGCCTGGGCAGCCAGCTTCAGGAGGCTTTTCCACCAGGGTGAGGTAA